GCCGAAGGAGAAGGAGGGGAGCGCCGCGAAGTCTGCGAGGACCGAGACCGAGGAGCCCGACGCGGCCTCGAAGAGGGACGAGCTGATTCTCTTGGCGTCCGTGGCGGCGGAGTCGCGGAACCACGCAGCGGCGCTCTACCGGACGTGCCTGGTGCCGGGGGAGGTGGGCGAGGCGTTCTACGACGGGATGCGCGGGGCGGTGGGCGAGTACGAGAAGAAGGCCCGGGGCCAACGGGGCCACGGGCACGGAGTGCCTTGCCACCACGCGCTGATTGCCGCAGCGCTCATCGGGCAGACGCACTTTTCCGCGGAGGAGATGGGGGCGAAACCGCCCGAGTACCAGAAGATCGAAGAATTCCTGACGAAGTACGACGTGCCCAAGAAGCTGGGGAGGGAGGTGCTGGAGTTCAGGGCCTACGAGACGCGCGACAAGGGCCACCGTTTCCGGTTCCGCCTCGTGGAGGGGGGGGATCCCTTGGTCAAGGCAGTGGTGGAGATCATCGTTCGCGTGTGGATGCAGGCCGGGGGCGAGGAGGTGTTGGGGTCAGCGCCAGCGTCGAGGCGGGAGCGGAAGCTGCAGGCCCGCATTAAGCGGATGAAGGAGTGACCCGGCGGCGCATTGCTTTCCCCCTTGCCTCCTCCTCCTCCTCCTCCTCCTCCTCCTCTCCTTCCTCTGGGCTGGAAAAAACACAGGATCTTGTCGTAACGGCGGCCGCCTGCTGACGAATGCCCCGCCAGAATTTAGTTCCCGTGCTCGGCGGGCATTTGAAATGCGGCCGAAGTGTCGCAACGCACACTTGGTGATCGCATGCTGGCGCAATTCTATGCTCGCCAGTTGTACGCCCTTGTCGACGAATGCAGCGAGCGTGCTCACGGTGCGGCGCTGTCCTGCCCCTGCTTCACTCCGCCCCCTTCTTCCTTTGACGCGCGATGTCTTGTGAGGGCGGCCAGCTGGGGCAGATTCAGCACTGCCGCGACCCAGGCCCAGCGGAGACGCCACGTCGGTGCGTCCCGCTGCTGGTGTGGGGCTTTCACCTGTCTACATAACGGGTCGCGTCGCTCACGTTGGCAAGCTTTGATTGGCGATACTTTATCGCGGCACTGCATATTCCTCTACATATCGATCGGCTTGCTGACTTCGAGTGTGTCGGACCGGACCTCCTCCTCCCACCCCCCTCGTCCTCAGCCTCCTCCTGTTCCTCCTCCTCCCTCCCTTCACGCGGAAAAAGGGGGCCGCGGCCGCCGCGCGTGGGGCGCGCGCGCGCGCAGCGGCCACGACAGGCTGTCGGTCGCCCCCCCCCACCCCACCCACCCACACCCACACACACCCACACACACACACAGACACAGACACAGACACAGACACAGACACAGACACAGACACAGACACACACACACACACAGACACACACACACACACACACAGCTGCCTCGGCTCAAGCTGTGCTTCGCCTGGGCCCGCGGCCGCCGTCCTCGTGATGGCCACCGCAGGTCCTGCTGCGCGTGCCGACGCTGGCAGCGGCGATGCGGCGCGCCGCAGGGCCCTCGAGTCGGCCCGCGGCGCCCTCCTGGCGGCCCACGCCGCCAGCGGCCTCGCAGTCGAGGCGGCGACCCCTGGCGGGACCCGCCTCCTGCGTGCGGCCGAAGGCCTGCTCCGCGCGGCCATCGTGGCCCTTGGCGCGAGGGCTGCGCCCGCCCCCCCGGCACCGGCTGCCGCGGGCCGCCCTGCCGCCGGCCGCGCGGCCGCGTGGGGCGCGGCGCGGGGGCCCCGCCTGGCGCCCCTCGGGCCCACGACGGCGACGTGCAGGAGCAGGAGGGAGGAGCTGGAGGCGCGGCTGGCGCAGCGGCAGCGCTGGGCGGGGTCCCTGGCGCGGACGCTGCGGTGCGGGCTCGGCGGCGGCGACGCCGCAGGCGGCCCCCGCGCGCGCTGACGGCGGGTCCTCCTGGGGGCGACGGTGCCGCGGCGGCCGACGACGACGCCTCCATGGAGGACGACTCCTGGGCGGATGGGGGGCGCCCAGCAGCGGCAGGCCTTGCGGCGGCCGCGGCGGGCGTGCCGCCCATTCGCGAGGCGGTGGCGGCCGTGGACGGCGACGACGGCGCTGGTGGGCAGCGCACGGGCCTCGTGCTCGTGCAGGTGCCCGTCGAGGTCGGCGACGCCCGCGACGACGAGAGCGTGGGCGCGATGCACGACGTCGTGCAGAGCGCCAGGCCGCCCCCGCCTGCGCTGGGGCCTGGCACGGCCCTGGACGGGACAGCGGCGGAGATGCTCTGGGACGCCACGGACCAGGGCATGGACGTCGCGATCACCCCTGACGGCAGGGTGGTGAGAGCTTCAGGGCTTGGCGCGCCCGCCGTGCGGCCCTGGGCCCCAGCGCTGGCGCAGGCTGCAGCGGCGGCGATGGCTGAGCCTGGCCAGCGCAAGGCAGACGCGGTGGTGCTCCTCCTCGAGTCGAGCTCTGTTCGTTTTTCCTTGTGCAATTATGTTTCCCGCCAGTTATCCGTGCGATGCTGGGCGGATGCCCCTTCGTGCCAGGACGCCGTCCCTGGTAGACGTTGGGATGCCTGTCGTGCTGGGACGCGGTCCCCAGTAGACGGCAGTAGGGCTTCGCTTGGCCGTACAAGCACGTGCACACTTTGCATTATTTGATGCCTTGTATTTCGATTCGCTTCGCGTTTTGAGTATAAGAGTGTGCCTGGCCTCAGTGGCCTCCTGGGCCTCAGTGGCCTTTTGGGCAGGGCTGTGTTCGTTTCACTCGTGATTCGGACGCTGTCCCCTTGTTAGTGACACGCACACACAAAAAAAAACAACAACAACAAACAACGCCGACTCCGGGCGAGCCCTCCGCGCGCCTGCCCTGCCGGGCTCCCCGCGCGGGGGGTCGCAAGAGCCGCCTGCTCGACCGCGCCGGGGGCAGCGAGGAGGGCAGGGCGCACGGGCACGCGGGCGGGCAAGCGCCAGGCCGCGGAGGCGGGCGGAGGCGCCCCCCGTTCTCGTCCTCCGGTAAGGGGGCAAAAAAATGAAACCCCTTCGTCTTCGGCCCCGCAGTCGCCCCCCCCCCCCTCCCCCCAATCTTGGGAGTTGGGTTCGGCCTCTCGGAGGCCCTGGGGGTTCCACTTTTTTTGTCCTCTCACGCCTGTGCTGCCAAACGCTTGAGGCCAACTTTGAAATTGGGGGGAGGGGGGGGCGTGGTGTCAAGGGTTCCACTTTTTTGTCCATCTACGGTCCCTCCCTCCGTCCAGCCCTCCGTTCTCCTCCTCCCCCTCCTCCCCAATCGCGTTTCCTCGCACATACCTCCTCCCTGTCGAACCCCCAAGCATGTCTGTATGGCGTCTCCGGGATCCTATGTTTATGCAGTTCACCCGTCCTCGAGATCAGCGATCCTCCCACTGCACCTCATCATTGCCTCCCGCTGGCCCCCGTCGCTCGCTCGCCCTGGGATGTCATGGTGACGATGCCGCTGGCCGAGCGTGAACAGCAACACCTGCCGCAATTCACACGACCGCTTTCAAATCCGATCCATCTCCGCTCTAAAAACGAGGCCAGGACGAGGAACACATCGGGTGAAGATAAATCGAGACTCTCCGAGCGACGGCGGCTCTGAAGGATGTATCGGGCGCCGCGGCCTTCTCAGAGCGTTCGGGAACGCTCTGAGAGCGTTCCAGAACGCTCTAGAACGGATCGATTAGAAGAACAAACTGCATAAACATAAACTGTTGGCGCTCCGCACGGATTTCTTGGATCTGCGCTGGAACCCCCCTCCCTGGCGCGCGGAGCCCGCCAGGGGCGGCGCTGGAGGCGCCGCCAGGGGGGGCCCAGCGCGGATCCAAGAAATTCGCGCGGAGCGCCAAAAGTTTATGTTTGTGCCGTTTTTTCTTCTTCGATCTATCCTCGTTCTATTCCAAATCCCTTGTTAATCGTCACCGGGTCTAATTTTCCAAGGTGCCTTTTTTGTCATTGGGGGGTCCGGTTTATTAGGGCGCTTTCTTTGGATTGGAGCTTAGGGGGTCTGGTCTATTAAGGCGCCCCATCGAAGAGGGGGGTCCGGGATATTGGGTCACATCTGGAGGGGGGTCCGGTATGTTAGGGGGGGGCGATTCAGAAGTGATTTGGAGTAGAGGAAGAAAAACTGGCATAAGTAGAAACTTTTGGCGCTCCGCGCAGACTCCTTGGCTCTGTGCTGGGCCTCCCTCCCTGGCGCGCGGAGCGCGCCAGGGGCGGCGCTGAAGGGCCCCAGCGTGGCTCCAAGAGCTCCGCGCGGGGCGCCAAAAGTTTATTTTCATGCTGTTTTCTCTTCTTCTTCTTCTTCTTCTTCTTTGAGGTGGGCCGTTTTTTCTTCTTCGATCTATCCTCGTCCTAGCCCCGTCCGAAGCGCATCCGCTATACCTCGTCCTCTACCCCTGCGGCCAGAGGGAGCGCGACGCTCCTCCTGGGCGGCCGGTGGTGTGCGCCGGCCGTGCTCGAGGGCTCCTTGAGGTCCTCCGGAGCAGTGACGGAGGGAGGGAGCACTCCTCCCCCTCCTCCTCCTCCTCCTCCTCCTCCTCCTCCTCCTCCTCCTCCTCCTCCTCCTCCTCCTCCTCCTCCTCCTCCTCCTCCTCCTCCTCCTCCCCCTCCCCCTCCCCCTCCCCCTCCTCCTCCTCCTCCTCCTCCTCCTCCTCCTCCTCCTCCTCCTCCTCCTCGAGACAGGGAGAGGGGGAGGCTGGAGGGCGAGAGGACGGGAATGAAGAGAGGGAGGAGGGGCGGAGGGAGAGCACGGCGAGGATCGCTATCTCTGATCCCTTTGACCCCAGGGCAAGTCTCTGAGCGAGGTCGCCGGCGGAGGGGAGGGAGGACGAGTGCGAGGAGTGGCGACGACGAGGCGACGACGAGGGGGGTGGAGGACAGGTGCGACGATGCTGGAGAGGGGGAGCAGGAGATGGAGGATCGGATAGAGAGAGGGTGAGGACTCGAAGAGGAGAGAGGGGCATAGGAGGGGCAGGAGGACGTCCGACCCGCACCCTCAGGACTCGGCCTCCCCCCTCTCGTCCCCGATCCGCTGGAGCGCGGTCATCTCGAACACTTCCTCGCCCCATGTGGCCTCGAGCGTACCAGGAGGACGCCACGTGTCCGGTAGCACCGATCCTGGCCAGGCCAAGCCAGGGCCCAACATCGGCGTTCACACACGTCCGATGTCTTGATTGCTTCGGCGTCGAGCGAGGGCGGGAAGCGAGAATGAGAAGGTCTTCTCAAAAGGTTCGGGAGTCCCCCCAGCCTTCTGCGGAGTTTTCTAGGCCTTCCCCGAAGTCACAGAAAAAACCTCACAGAAGGCGCGAGGGCTTCTGAGAAGCCCCGCCGCCTTCTGAGGCCTTCTCCTTCTCACTTCCCCCCCTCGCTCGCCGCCGACTGCTCAAGTACGAGGTCTTCTGAAGGCCCGACCCTTCCTCCAGGGCCGGCTGGTCCTCTTGAATTGTTTTTGACGGTCCCCGGGCCCCGTGGGGGCCCCCCGACGCCGGAAACTCCAAAGCACTGCGGTCTCGATGGTTTCAAGACGTTGGATGCAGGGGAGTGGCGCCTGCAGAACAGAGCACCACGAACTCACTCAATCACTCCGAGAGAGCCGCCGTCGCCTCTCTCTCTATATATCCACCCGGCTCGTCTCGCCGAGCGTCCTCTCCTGCGACGTCATCCGACGCCCTGGTCTTTACGATGCGCCCGTCGTCACTCGCGGTCGCCGTCGGTCGTCATGATCGTCGTCGTCGCGCGGTCCTTCGTCGTCTGTCGTCGACGTGCATCGCTCGTCATCGCAGTTATCCGTCCTCCGTCGACCTGGTCGCTTGTCGTGAGGCCCTGGGAGCCCCCGTCCCCACCTCCGCCGCCACGAGCCGTGCGCCGTGGCCTGCTCTTGCAAGAGAGAGACCAGGACGGCGAAGGGCCCAGCGCTCGCGGCGTCCTCCTCGGGAAGCGCCCCCTGGGCCTGGACGTTCGGGAAGTGCATGCCGAACTCCCTGAAGATGATATCCTGCGTGCTCGCGGCACTGCAGGACGGGCGAAAGGATGGCGAATCAAAGGGCGGATGACGAATGGTGGTTAGCGAATCAGCTTGAAGGGGCCCTGGGACACACAAACAAATAGACACAAATAATAAAAGGATTCCCCATGTTGTCCCATATTTTCTGAGATCTCGTCCACCCCACTTCCCATATTTTCCAATATTTTTAACGATTAATTGTGTCCTTGTGTTTTTCCCTCCTGAGAAGGGGGGGTTAGCGAGTCAACTGCTCGCAATTGCTTTTTTCTGGCGCCTCCGGGCGCCGACTGCGACCGTGCACGTAACAAGGAAAAGGTCCTGGCAGCGAGGCCAGAACCAGCTGCACTAGACGAGCGCGTTCCACTACTCGCAAAATAACAACTCGCAAATGGCCTGGATCCGCCGCGGGAGGATCTACGATAAATGACACCAGAAACGGACATGCGTTGTTCGGACGTTTGCGAGTAGGCACTTTGCGAGTAGTGGAACGCGCTCGGCGATGCACGCAGAAGTTGAGCTCCCCCCACACGTTTACCAATTCCCTCTCTTCCACGCTCGTCCAACCCGAGCAGCAAGAAATATGCCAGTGGGCACGCCCGAGCTAGGGGCGCAACAAAACAAGGGGCGCTGCAAGACACTGGCCAAGACCGACGGATGCAACTGTTGGAATGTCAACGTCTGTCCCAAGTGGCCAAAGTCCGCACCGACATGTAGGGCAAGTCTGGTTTCTCAAGGCAGGACCTGCCGTCGGACTTCGCCACAATTTTTCCAGCATTTATTGTCGCAACCCCAACCCGACGATGGGAACGACGAACGCGTTGGCGGAGGGACTAGCGTGCATCTCGGTAAATCCCCGTGCGCTATCTAGCGCCGGAGGCAGAAGGAGGACCCTCTCCTCATCATCATCCCGTTTCCCCTCGCCCTCCCTCCGCCCTTCTCTCTCGCTCTCTCTATTCCCCGCCTTGCACCTCCACTGCAGCCTCCTCCATCTCCTGCTCCACCTCCACCTCCTCCGCACTCTCGCACCTCGAACGCTCGCACGTGGGCCTGCGACTCTGAAAAGCAGCCCGGCGCACCAGACCACACACAGTTCCCGTCTCGGGCGAGCTGCGGCGGATCGCCGCTCTGACAGGGGCGCGTCGTGACCGCGGCCGCGACCAGAGCGGGCACTGGACCGCCAGGAGCGCGGTCGACCAGCTCGACGCAAGGGGGCTCGCTGCGGCCGGCGGCTTGGGCCCGAATGGCTACAGGCACGGGGGGGGGAGGAGGGAGGGAAAGGTGGCGAAGGAAGGCACTCATGCCGCCGCTGCCGCCCCCCCCCCGCCGCCGCGCTTGCAGCCGCTGCCGCACCGAGAGGGACCCTCTCAGGGACTGCACGTTTTGGAGCTTCAGATCTCTCCTCATACCCGTCGCGCGGGCCCTACCGCTCGCTGTTTAGGGCGTTTAGGGCGTTCCTCCCCCTTCTCTTCCTCCTCCTCCTCCTCCTCCTCCTCCTCCTCCTCCTCCTCCTCCTCCTCCTCCTCCTCCTCCTCCTCCTCCTCCTCCTCCTATGCTCCTACTCCTCCTCCTCCTCCTCTTCCTCCTCCTCCTATCCCTGCAAAGACAGTCCGCGAACACGACGAAGGTGAGCCGTGGAATCGCGACAGCTGGAGCATCGCATACGCAATGCTATCGAGACACGGCTTGACATTTGTACCACGCTGCGCCGTGCATGTCTCCTCCCCCCACGTCGTCCTCCTCCTCCTCCTCCTCCTCCTCCTCCTCCTCCTCCTCCTCCTCCTCCTCCTCCTCCTCCTCCTCCTCCTCCTCCTCCTCCTCCTATTCTCAACGCCCTGCAAAACCAGGCCGCGCGAGAGAGACGGAGGGAGGCCCTGGAACCGCGAGAGCTGCAACTTCGCACACGCCGCATTAAACACACATATACGCAACGTATATATATATATATATATATAAAGAGAAAGACATCTGCATCTCTCTCTCTCTATATATATATATATATATTTATGTAGAGAGAGAGAGAGAGACATACCCAACAACCAGCTACATATAGAGAGATATTTACACATATACACAGAGACCCAACAACCAGCTCTCTCTCTCTCTATATATATACAGAAATAGAGAGAATCATATACGTACGCTGCAGTTTCGCATACGCAGCCTAGATATCTACACACACATACTGTGCCGTGATGAAAGATTGCCCTATTTTGACGGGTCGGAAAAAATCATCCTTCGTCCGCAATGCGAGCACACGTCTGTGCCGTGATGACAGATTGCCCCACTTTGACGGGTCGGCAGAAGTGCATCCTGCGTCCGCAATGCGAGCACACGTCTGTGCCGCGATGACAGGTTGCCCCATTTTGACAGGTCGGCAAAAGTGCATCCTGCGTCCGCAATGCGAGCGCACGTCGCTAGTCGCCCCGCTAGGGACGTGGAGCCTGGTACAATGTTACGGGGAGGTGCCTCGCTTTCGGGGCGGAGTTCGAACCTGGGCTGTCGGGGCGGGGATCGAACCTGGATTTGGTTCCTTCAATTAAAATTGTATTAAGCCAAACGGGATGGCGGTTCGAAAACGGCAAACCGCGTGGGACGTCCTCACAAAATTGGCTCTCAAGACGGTTCGAACTCGGTTCGAAACAATAGAATGCGGTTCGAAACAAAAGCAGAATGAGCGTTTCGCGTGGGGCTTCCCTCAAAATACGGCGTCGGACCCAGTTCGAAACAAAAGGATGGCGGTTCGAAAACGGCAAACCGCGTGGGACATCCTCACACAATCTGCTGTCCTGATGGTTCGAACTCGGTTCGAAAGAAGGGGATGGCGGTTCGAAAACGGCAAACCGCGTGGGACATCCTCACACAAATTCTTGTTCCCACGGTTCCAACTCGGTTCGAAAGAAGGGGATGGCGGTTCGAAAACGGCAAACCGCGTGGGACACCCTCACAAAAATGGTTGTTCTGACGGTTCCACGTCGGTTCGAAACAATAGCATCGATTTCCACACGGTTGGAAAACGACCGTTTCGCTTGAGACTTCCTTGAAAATACGTTTGAAGCCTAACGGCCGCGTCGTCGACGACGACGACGACGACGACGACGACGACGACAATGACGACGACGACGACGACGACGGCGGTTACGACGTTTACATGCGCTCTCGCCCGGATGCCGGCCACTCCTTAGTTCTCGCCTCACCGCCGGCCAGTGTCTCGGTCTGGCCGACCGCTCTCTGGGGTGGCGCCTGGAGAGGCCCCCGGTGCGGCGCTGCCCCCCTTCCGGAGGGGGGGACGTGCCGGGGGGAGACACCCGCCCCCCCCCCTTCAAGGGGGGGACCCCTTGGGGGGGGATACTGCTGTCACCCCCAAACAGCCACATTTTTGAAAAGGACCCGCCCGTTTGGGCTGCTTCTGCTTGGGCCGGCTGATCTACGCCATTTCCTATTGGAAAACCAATATGTTTTCCACTAGTGTTCCGGGTTCCGGCCTTTTCTGCAAAATCGTTTTTTTTTTTTTCCACCCCGGAGGCCGAATCCAACGGGGAAAGCACGACTCATCCGCCCGTTTGGGTTGCTTCTGCTTGGGCCGCCTGATGTACCCCATTGCCTATTGGAAAACCAGTATGTTAGGAAGAGGGAGGATGAGGAAAAGGGAGGAGGACAGGAGGAGGAAGGAGGGAGGAGGGGAAGGGAGTGGGAGGAGGAGGAAGAGGAGGGAAATGATGAGGACGAGGAAGAGGAGGAGTAGGACAGGCGCCGAAGGTTTCGGTGGGGATCGTTCCAAGTAAGATATTGTCTGGGCCAAGTCGTTTTTTTTGTGTTTGACCCCAGCTCCGAAGGCCCAATCCAGCAGTCAAAACATGACCTTCTAGCAGTAAATGCGAGCGTGATCGCAACAGTCTCGATTGCTATCGTAAGTCCAATGCAAATTCGTCCAGGTCGTCCTCGCTGCAACTTTTGGGGCAAGTTGGGGGGAGGAGGGGTGGAAGGATGAGGGAGGAGCTTGCATCGATCAACTTTCAGGCTTTATTGATATTGTTGTGCTCTGCGTACTTGAGCTGTTTGTCAGCACTGGCGTTCACTGGCAATGTGGCGTTCACAGGCGGCCGGGTGCTCACACTCACAGTGGTGTTCAGGCGGTGCTGGACTCGGGTAGTGTTGATCCGGCTCCGAAGCCAAATCGAGCAGTCAAGACATGGCCTTCGAGCAGTAAGTGCGCGCGTGGTCGCAACAGTCTCGGTTCTTATCGCAAATCCAATACAAGATTATCCAGTTTGTCCTCGCTGCAACATGTAGGACATGTTGGAGGGAGGACGGGTGGAAGGATGAGGGTGGAGCTTGCATCGATGAACTTTCAAGGCTTATCGATGTTGCTGCGCTCTGCGTTCCTGGTGCTCACTCGCAAGAGCTCAGGGTCACATTGGTGCTGAGGCGTTGTTGGACTCAGGGGGTATTGATCCAGCTCAGGCCGATTCCAAGAGGTAAACAACTGTCTTGGAAGAAATGCGCGTGCGGTCGCAGCAGTCTCGATTCCCAGCGCAAATCAAATACAAACTCGTCCAGTGTGTCTCCGCTGCAACTTCAAGTTGGAGGGAGGAGTGGTGGAAGGATACGGGTGGATCTTGGCGATGTTGTGCCCACAGGCATCTGGGTGCTCACTGTCACTGCGGTGCTCAGGCGTTGCTGCGCCCAAATAGCACTGATTGTATTTCGGTGCAACCAGCTCCACATCACAACGACACCGATCGAAGCACCCCCTCATGCCACAACAGCGTGCGGATGCATCGTAGCCATTACTTCGGCTATGCAAAAAAAGAGCCAAACTTTAATCACGCCCATGTACATATATATATATATATGTCTAGAGAGAGAGAGAGAGAGAGAGAGAGAGAGAGAACACAAAAACAACAACAAAAAAACAACCACAGAAAACCAACTTTGCATCTGCACCACGCTGCGCCGTGCACGTTCCCTCGCGCTCGGGCGCGGTACGCGCTTTTTGTCGGCTCGCTCGTGGCGGCGTGCGCGCCATCCTCCGCCGCACGTGATGCCCCCCCAACCAAGAAGAATAAAGCGACTCGCGGCCCACGGGCCGCACTCTTCGGTCAAAGGAGGAGGGCCCATGTCCTAGTCACGCGCTCGCATAACCCTTGTGTCCCCCGCTCCTCCCTCCCTCCTCTATCTTTCTCCATCCCCATCCGCTTCCCCCCGCCCTGGATTCCAGCCTCCCTCTGTCCTCTTCTCCCCACTCCGGACCCCTCCCTCCACGCTCCCCCCTCCCTGCAAGGCAAAATCATACGAGGAGTAAATCTGACATTTCTGAGAACTGGTTGGTTTGGAGGGTTTATCGGGCGCCGCAGCCACTCCAGAGTGTTGCGGAACGCTCATGAAACGTCGCGAAAAAGCCCTGGAACGACCTGTCTTCACCGTAGAAATCCCTGATCCCTTCTCCCTCTAGGGGAGAGGACCCAGGCATCGGGGGGCTCCTTTTTGAGGGCCCCCCTGGGGTCAGTTCCAGGGCAACCAAAACGGGCCTCAGAAGCCCACACTTGCTGAACCTGGGCGCGTTTCGGCACCCACTCCCCCAACCTCGTAAGGGCCACTGGCAAGGAGAGGGCGGCGGAGGCCGACGCGTCCAACAGCTGGCCGACGCATGTGGTTCCAAGCTTTGTTTCCTCCAAAACAAACACCAATCTGGGGGGTAAAAGTGATACGTGCTGTAGCGACCCAAGATCGCGGGAACCACGTCTCTCTCGAAATCACGCGAACAATAGCAGGCAACAACATCTGAAACGCCGCAACTCAGCAGACACCGCAGCTGCCGCCGCCGCCGACGACGCGCTGCGGATGGCCCGAAGGGAGGGGGGTGCTGGGCGGGCCCACCGTAGTCGACGACGACGACGCGATGCGGATGTCCCATGGGGGGTAAAGGGTGAAGGGACCCTGGGACACACAAATACATACACACAAATAAACGGATTCCCCATATTTCCTAACATTTTCTGGGTGTTCGCCTTCCCCCCCCACTTCCCATATTTTCCTACATCTTCTTGGGGATCGACGATGAGTTGTGCCTGTGTGTTTTTCACCTCCTGAAAGGGGTGCTGCGTGGGCCGCCCGACGTAGTCGAACCGACGACGACCGACGACGACCGACGATGCCGCGCTGCGGACGCATGTGCCGCGGGGGGGTCCCTGCGTGGGTCTGCCGCAGGCGACGACGACGACGGCGCGCTGCGGATGCCCAAGCGGACGGGGGGGTGCTGCGTGAGCCCGCCGTACGCCGTACTCGACGACGGCCGGCGGCAACGACGACGACCACGAGGACGACGACGACGGCGGCGGCGGCGGCGACGACGCGCTGCGGATGAGCAGGGGGAGGGAGGGGGTGAAGCATGGGCCCGCCGTCGTCGTCGACGACGACGCCCACCACCTCCACGACGACGGCGACAAAAATCCTGGGGGAGAAGACTCATACATATTCCGCCGAAGGGATTGCGGCCCCCGCCTCCCGTGATAGAGAACGGGGGAACGGGGGGGTCTCTTCCTTTATCATTCCGAGGCCCCCAGGAGGCCCGGCAGGGGCTCCCAGAAAGCTCCAAGAGGTCCCCCAAAAACAGCAGAAACAAAAACAAGGAGTCCAAAGAGATCCCCAAGAGACCCCGCGACGCGCCCAATAAACCCAACAAATCCCCGAGAGTCGCCCAAGAAGACCCGAAGTGGTCCTCGAGAGGCCCGTGAAGGCATTGACACACGCAGCAAGCAACGTCGACAAAGGCTGCATGTCTTCATATTCATGTCCGTTCCCTGCCCACCTTCACCGACACAGGATGCGTTTCATTTTGGCGCCCCGTCCTTGTGCGCCCTCCACGGCGCGTTCCGGAGCGGCCGCAGTCTTCGTGGTGCAACATGCGTGGTGCAATGTGGATGATCCAATCCATGTGGTGCAGTCGGCGCGTCGCGCAATTCAGTGCATGCCTTGCCGCACTGCAGCCTCGCTAACTCTAGGCCTCCCTCGTAAGCGCGGTGGCGGATATGCGCGGCAGCGTAACTCGGTAATTCTAGGGCCGACATTACAGGGCGCAGCTCAGTAACTCCCCCAGCGGTGTGGTCATGGGCCGCCGCCCTCGAGGAGGAGGAGGAGGACCAGTGCAAACCCAAGACTCATCAACGACGTTGGAATACACCCTCCCTCCAAGCTTCCTCTACGTGGGCCCCTACGCAGATTCAATTACACTGATGAGAGGCCCCGTTGGGAGACAACCATTTGAAGATCCGGAAGCGTGCCAGAACAACATTTTCGGGACTCCAACGCTGCGAATCAACCTGACTGTTGCGTCGTGACGACTCTGAATCGTGCCACAACACCGATTCTTGGGACTTCAACATCGCGAATCAAAGTAACTGCTGCGCCCTGGCAATCCTCAATCGCTCCAAAACACCATTTCAGGTACGGCAACGATGGGAATCCTTGAACATCTTGCAATGTGTTAAGACGAGTGTGCGCGGCGCTAAGGCGAGAACCACTTTTTGAATGGGAGCCAGGCTCAACCCGCGAGTTTGGGGCAAATTGATTGGAAGAATGCGCGCGCGAGGTCAAACAACAAAGCCCGCCTTCAATCCGTGAAACTCTTGCAAATTGTTAGACGAATGGTCGCGGCACAACTAAGGCGAGAGCCACATCTTGAAAACGACCCGGTCTCAATCGGCTAGACTCTTGTAATTTTGTAGAAAATGGATGTGCGCGGCGCTTAGGCGAGAGCCACATTTCGGAAGCGACCCCTCCATCTGAGAAGCTGTTGCCGATTTCTAGGCTTCAAGATCATCTATGGTAAAGTCTCAGGCGAAACGCCCGGCCCGCCCTTCCAACTGGCCTCGGGGTGTGACAAGGAAGTGTTACTGAATAAGGAACATGAACGGAGGAGTTCGACAACCTCGCGGAGGATGACAGAGGAGGACCAAGCGGAGGAGGAGACAGCGTCCTCGACGATATCCTCGATAGTGGGCTCGTCCATCACCTGCAGGTCGAACTTGACCGTCGGCGTCCGCGGCACATCCGGCGTGTCCGGCCCGTTCTCCTCGGGTACTTCCGAGGCTCAAGCGACCCTGGGCACAGCCCCCCCCACCTCCCAGAGCCCGCCCTTGCCTGGAGAGTGGCAGGATAAGTCAACATCGAACTGGGAAACGAGGGCCTCCAAGAGGGGGGTGTCTAAGACGGGGGTTCGCAAATCATGGCCAGAGGCATGTGCGCCGACGAGGGGGAGAGCCAAACAACGCATTCAAATAAGAAGAGAGGGCCATGAGATCCAGAGAGATATTCTGGCCCCAGCTATCCCCCCCCCCTCTAGGATCAAATCGGAACGATAATCGGATTGGGCTGCATGGGATCGAAATCAAAATCGAATCCAATCGGCTGGGCCCTGACACGCAGCTGCGCCGTCCCAACATCGGCCGCATTGGATAGGCGGGAGATCGAAATCGAATCAAATCGAGCCGGGCGAACTCGACATCGAATCGAATCGATCGAATCGAAACGGGCCCGAATATGGATTACGGAATACGCCAAGTCCATGTAGTGACGACGTCGTCGATGACGTTGGTTTCTGACACTTCTGTGATCGTTCAAGCGTGGACGATCTCGGCTTCCAGATAGGGCGGATCGTTCGGTGTCGTAAGATTCTGGGCCACTGGAGGCATTCAACCCTGAATGCCAGCGCCAGGGTCGTCGCCGCGTCGACGCGACACGAATCTACCGCATGGATCCCTGCATCTAGGTCCTGGACGCGGTGGGATGTCGAGCAGAATCGTTGCGCGATCGACACCTCTCCCAAGGCTGGCAGCCCGGACTCGTGGGTCGACTCCTGGGTGGGCTTAGTATGGAAGAAAAAGCAGGCAATGACAGAAACGGGCGTGGGGCGGGGAGGGGGAGGAAAAAGAAGGCGGAAACAAGACAGGACAGGCGAGGCCCCCCCCTTCCGCAGTGGGCCGCCGGCTTGGCGCGCAGATTCCCATGCCCATCCTCCTCCTGGCAAAATCAGGCGCAGTCCTCACGCGCCCCGCACCCCCTGCTCAGCACATCGTGAGCGCTCGTCGGCAAGCGCAAATCCATCCACATGTGCTGCCTGTTGCTCTGGGGTGGCTGCTCGAGGAAACAGGTGCGAGTGTAGGCTTCGCTTCTCCTCCGGCTATCAGGCAGCACGGGGTGGACCCCTTGAACGGAGGCCTCCCAAACGGGGCCACAGCAGATGGGGTCGGATCGCACCGCATCGCCGACCGACCCATCGGCGATGCACTAGCGACACCGGGACGGAGCAAATCGGCCCCCGCATCGCGTCGCATCGCCTGAATAGAAACTGTGCCCAGCCAATCCCCTCTCGCGGCGGACGAGAGGGGGGATAGCAGAGGGGAGGTTAGCGCATCAGCTCACGTAGCCAGTTTTCCCGGCGTCTCACGGCGCCAGAGGTGCCAATAAGCACCCGTCGGCGTGGCCGAAACCAGCTTTACGCAGCAGAGTTCAGAGACCGCCCTTTCCCTCCCACTATGGCTTGTTCTTCCTGCCTCCTCGGACATGTAGCGGGCAGGGGGCGGTGCATACCCTCCAGGTGACACACCAGGGGGAGTCCGCGCAAGGGGACGAAGACGCCACGATTGTGTCTGTGTGTGTGTGCAGACTCCCTCTCTCTGAGCGTGGCGCCCAGGCCCAGAAATCCAGCGGCTCGATTTGCCCCAGGGCTGGACCTACGTGCTGTTTTGCCAGACGCCGGCTGTGCCTCGTTTCTCGCCCTGGGCAGGGGAGGTGCAGGCAAACGGGTGGGGAGCAAGAGACGAAAAACCACGACGAGCACAGACAACGAGCAAGAACGCTTCGGCCCAGCGGCTCGACTTGTCCCAGGACGTGGGCCCCCCCAGGAGGAGGAGGAGGAGGAGGAGGAGGAGGAGGAGGAGGAGGCGGAGGCGGAGGCGGAGGCGGAGGAGGAGGCGGATGAGGAGGAGGAGGAGGAGGCGGAGGAGGAGGAGGAGGAGGAGGAGGAGGAGCCCCCCGCCCTGCGGGGCCAGCTGCCCTCGCTGCACCTGCCGGTGCCCCGGGCCTCCGGAGGCCGGCCTCCGACGGCCGGGCCGCGGAGGCCGCCGGCGCCTCGCCCCGACCTGTTGCACTCCGGCGGCGGGCTGCCTGGGCTCCTTCTTTTCGTCTCGCGCCCGCCGCCTCCCATCCTCCATGCGAAGGGGCCCCAGGGGCACACAGATAAAAACACACACACACACACACACACACACACACACACACACACACACACACACACACACACACACACATAACAGCAGGATTCCCCGTATTTCCCAATATCTTCTGGGTTTGTCTTTGTCCTTCCCCCCCCCCACTTCCCAAAAATTCCCATATTTTTCTGGGGAATCGACGATCACTTGTGTCTGTGTGTTCTGTTCCCGCCTGATCCTCCCATTCCCCTCCCCCCTCGTCTCCCGTCCATCCTCCATGCCCTCCTCACGTCAGGAGGCTCGATTTGTTCCAAAACGCGGGCCCCCAAACCACTTGACCACTTTCCTCGGGGGCGCGCTAACATGGAGTAGCGATCCGTGGATTTGGCGCGCGGTCGCTGAATCCATGGATCGGAGGAGGTGCCATCCTCAAAATGCAGCCGGCGCCGCCTCGTTTCGAGGCGGAAATCCGTGATTTCCGATGGAAACGGGACCCGTCGCTAATCCACGCCCACGCCCCCTTAATCTATGTTTGCGATCCCCCCCTCCCCCTGCCCGTCCACCCCCGCCATCCTCCCCGTCTTCGTCCCGGCGCCATTGAGGCATAACGGCCGCAGCGAGCCCCTGAATCGAGAAAAGGAGGAGGCGGCGGAGGAGCGAGGCAATGAGCAATGCGGGGAGCTCAATTGTCTCAAACCTCACCCCTATAACACTGGCAAGTAACTCTGCGCCGCCCAACTTAGCAGACGCGGGTAAACCTTAGAGATTTGAGGTGACCCCCACTGGTTGGACCAGCACCACCCTCGAACGGTGGCGAACCCTCAGACGCCGCGCAGGCATGCACGAAGGATCCTCCTAGGGGACCGACTCAAGATTGGATCCGCGGCACTTGAACCACAACTAAGGGGATAGGGGGAAGATTTGGATTTGCAGATGGCTTCAAACTGGTGGCTTTGAAGGGGTCTGAGATGATGCCCTGGGCCACGAGGAGGGGTGGGGAGGGAGGGAGGGAGGGAGGGAGGTAGAGGATGGATAGGATGGAGAGGATGAGGAGGAGGCGAACGACAAAAAACGCAAAACGCAGATCCCCCCCCGCTCGCCCTCCTCGCCCTCCCCCCTGCCCGATCTCTTACCTCCGCTCCCCAGTCCCTCTCCCCTCGCATGGCACCACGCGGGGGCTGGCTGAAGGGGGCGAGGGAGGCGAATGGAAAGATCGGGTTGGGGAGAAGGGAGAAGGAAGAGGGGGAGGACAGGGGGGTGTACAGGGGGAGAAGGGAGAATGGAGGGGAGAGGGGGGCGGGAGAATGGAGGACAAAGAAGCGAGGACGAAGGGAGGAGAGCGGGCACCGAGGACGGTGGCGAGGATGGGGGTGGGGTTGAGAGGGGATGAGGGTGGAGGAAGAAGGGATGAGAAAGAGAGAGAGAGAGGAGGCATGACAACGGAAGGAATTTGGAGGACGGACAACGGAGGTGGGAAACAGTGAGGTGGAAGGAGGGATGAAGAAGTCGGGACAACGAGGATGACGAACACGAAGACGAAGAGAAGGTTCACTATCCAGGGTGGGCGATCCGACTCCGAGTGGGAGAGAAAGAGGCCTGGGGCGAGCCTCTCGGGAGCGGCCAAGAGGGGGGTGTCCAAGAGGGGGGCTGCAAATCATGACCGGCGGCACGTGCGCGGCCCAGCGTGGTGACCGGGGACGTAATGAAATAAGAAGAGGCGCCATGAAATCTGGGGAAATATCATTCCCCCCGCCATGATATCCACCCCCCCCCAGTCATCACCCCCCTCTTTGCCGCCCCCGAGCCTCTCAGGACGATAACTGCGCGTTCCCTGCCGGGGATGCCGACCCCTGCCATGGCCCACCGACGAGGCCCCCCTGCAGAGCACAGGAGCGACCCTTCAAGCCCGATCTGACCCCGCCGAGAGGGCGGCCCAGGCACGCGGCCTGCCCAGCAGGGCCCGCCCGCCGCAGGAGGCTCGGCCTCGTCTCGGGGCGAGACGCCGAAGGCGATCAGAATCGTGTCGGGCTCGAGCCGAGAGGCAGCGTGCTGCGTCGAGATGACGGAGTAGGAGTAGGAGCCGTGGGACGCCGTGTCCCGCCCTACGCTTACGAGGAGGCCCCACCACCCGCGACCCGCCCCGAGGGCCTCGAGGCCGTCCCAGCGAAGGCCCTCTGTGCCAACGCAACGGCTTTGGGGGCTCCTTGGGGGCACGGGTGGCGGCCTCTCTCGAAATTCGGGAAAGGTTCTCTTTACCCTTCCGCGTGAGCTGACAGACCTGATTGAAATGGCGGAAATCCGTGGACGCCGTCTTGCCACAAACGGAGCAGAAGTACAGGGAAAACTCAAACCATGTGTGTATCACGTGCGACTCATGGACCTGCACCTTGCCAGAGAAAATCGGGCCCTGGACGGCAGACACGCCCGAGGGAAAAGGGCCCCCTTCAGGAGCACAGGGGGTGTTGGCGGCCTCCAGGACCTGAGCCGGGGGCGCGATTCTGCGGCGCGACGCGCAAGCCCATCGCCCATGGAACCGAGTCCACGAGTGGGGGCTCCGCGCAAGGGCGAGCTCGAAGCGAGACTGAGCAGGAGGGCGGGCGCGCTCGACACGCTTCGAATTCCACGGATCCTGGGAAATCGATTCCGTGAGCGCACGACGGGCCCGACGCCTCACGAGCGCCGCGATCGCGCCCCACTCGTCGGTGCGAGGCGCATCGCCGATCATGCATCGGCTCGACCGCGCAGCCGCCACCCCAGCCCCTTATCAGCACAGATGTTTCCAGCAGCAACATACTGGAGGCCCTCATTCACAATCCGCCCAGGGTCCTCATCCAGGTGACTCGGGACCCAAACCACATCGATGCCACTGCTACTGCTACCTCGCTTGATCAACGCCTGCTTCAAGCGGGCCCAAAGATCTCCATTGCTGCCCATGCACGAAGTGTGACGGCCAGCGCTCCAACCGTCCAACAGAGACCTGCAATCAGTGTGAATGCGTATTTTTTTCCGGTCGAGCTCTCGAGGCAGAGAACAAGAGCGAGCAACTCGGCTCTAGGTGCAGTCTGCCTGCGCCCGCGGAGCCCGCTAGAGACGACGGCGGCAGGCGACCACGAATCTCCATCAGGCCGAGGAGCGACAGCAGCAGCTCCTATTCGGCGTCGCCGAGGATCGGCTGCGCGCGGGCCGCCCGAGCCATCGCCGAAAACGTCGAGCACCTCCTCGCCCTCGATCCTGCAGTTGTCGAACGGCTCGCCCTGGTGCTCGACCCAGTCCGCCTGGCACTCGTCGAAGACGGGCGTAGCGAGGTCGGATGGGCAGACGCCCCGCAACCACAAGGCGGGGTCTTGCTCCCAGCCCACCCTCGCACGCACGGCCAAGCATTCGCTGGCGTCAAAATCTGCATGGCCCGTGTTGCACGGGCAACTCCGAATTCGATGGAATAACGTTTCCTTCTCAGTGCCACAGCGCTGGCAAGTCACCTCCGAATCGTATCCTGCCTGCTGCTGGCGCTCCCTCGCCCTCTGGCCGCCGCTGACGACGACGACCGTCTGCGCCCACTGGTCGAGCGCGCCCGCGGCCATGAAGCGCCTCAACTCCCGCTGCGCATGCATCATGTCGGCGCCGTTGCAGAGGCTGTCGCCAGCGGGGTGTAGAGCAGCCCGCTGCCACATGCGCCTCGCGAAGTCCGCAATCAGGTCGTCCAGGAGCTCGGACGCGTCGGCGACAGCGAAGCACTCCGCGTCGGGGCCAGGGATGATCCACTCGTCGACCGCGTTGGGCCCAGTCGGGCGGACCCAGCGCTGGGGCGACTCGGGCCGCCACTCGGTGCCCAGGAGCACCGCGATCACAGCGGCAGCTGGCCCGCGGACGCGCCGCCAGCGATGCGGCCCTGCCTGCGACAGGGCCTTGAGCAGGCGGGGCCAGGCGCGGCGTGCCCGACCGTGGACCTCAGGCCGGGTGCGCCAGAGCTCGAGCCACTGGCTGACGACCTGCCTCCGAAGCTCCAGCCCCGGGCCGCGCTGCCCATACAGGGCCGCCAGGGTCGACGCGAGGCACCTGCCAGGGCCCTTGCCGACAGCCGAGGCAGCGGCTCCACGGCGCAGCGCCAGGAGCGAGGAGGGCGCGAGGCCAGCGACCTGGTGGCCGTACGTCGCCTGAGGTTGCGCCCCCGTCGCCCACAGCACCTTCGTGATCTTGGCCATGCGGACCTCCTTGCGCATGCGGAGAATCCTGCCCAGCTGACCCTTGGCAGCCTGGAAGCGCCTCTGGGCGCGCTTCCTGCACCGACGGCGCCCGCAGGTCGTGTCGACGCCGAGGTCCATCGCGTGCGCCGCGTACGAGGCAGGCACGCCAAGCCGCACGAGGCCGCCAGCGATGGCCCGCCCCAGCGGGGGGGGCGAGCACGCCAGCACAGACTTGGTGGAGACCTCGAAGCCAGCCTCGTCGAGCCCCTGCTTGAGCGCAACCGCGGCCTGGTAGATGTCGGCCTTGACTGACTGCCTCGTGCCAACTGAACGGATGACCGTGTCGTCGATGAACGTCCACAGCTGCGCACGCTCGCACGCACGATGTGCGCGAGCAATCACAGGCCCTAGCATGACCTTGGCCAGCTTCCCGCCGTTGCCTGAAACCGCCACAACTGACCGCTCGGGCTGCAGTCGGCGCCCAAGCCAGGCACGCTGGCGCAGGTGGCGGGGCCCTGCGTACTGCTGCACTTCCATCGCGGCCACGATCGCGGGGAACCCCTGCTGCGTAGCAGCAGCGAGCAGGCGCACGAAGGAGACCGAGTCGTACAACTTCTTGATGTCGAGGAGGAGGGTCGCGGTGAACCACCCATTCTCCACGTCGCACTCGTCCATGCAGGCACGGCACACCGCGGCCCGCAGGGCGGAGGATCCGCGCACCGCGGTGTCCCACCACTCGGCCTGGGCGTCGCTCCACTCGTCGGTGGCAGCAGCTCGCACCTTCGCCCAGACCTTGCAGGTGGTCGGCAGCATGCCGATGATGCGGTCCCCTCCGTCACGCTTGGGAATGGCGGCTCCAATGACCGCCGATAGCTGCCACGGCCAAGCCGCGGAGGCCTCGCACGCGTTGAGGAGCGAGGCGAGGCCGTAGAAGCCGTCCTCGGGCATGCGCTGCAGATCAGCGGGGCTCAGCTGTGTCAATGCCGCGCGCCTTGCCCGAACTCATGCGGCGCATGGCCGCGCGCACCTGGTCGGACGTGATCGGATCAGGGCCGTCGTCAGCAACACGTCGGAGAGTGTCGTTGAGGGCCTCGACAAGGTCGGCCTCGTCGTACGTCGGGTCCTTCCACACCGGCTCCCAGTACAGGGTCTTCTGCTCCAGGATGGCGTCGGGTTGGGCGATGGACCTCGCCGCGACGTCTCCGTCGGCGTCCCTGACGAGGCCGTAGGTCTCTAGCTGCTCGGCCACGGGTCGTTGACATGACGGTGGACAATGCCTGGCCTCCGCTGCCACGCCTTTGGCCCAGCGGATGTACCCAAGGCGGGCACGGTGAAGGCTGCGGCCGAGGAGGCGGTGGCACCACTGCTCGGTGCAGACAAGCAGCCTCTGCACATCATCCAAGCTCGGCATTTCCTGCTGCAAGAAAATGCCAGCACGAAGGCGCCAGTCTTGCGCATCCTCCTGCAAGGACTGGCCGAAGTACACATGATGGTCGTTCTTTCCCTCCCGAGCTCGTAACAGGGGGGTGGCTCGTGCGACACACTCGCGCTGCTGCGGCGGGTCGGACCCGTTAGTCAGCAGCGCGACGAGGCGGACCAACAAAGAACCCAGCGTCTGCCAGCCCTCCAGCACGGGGTCCAGCAGGTGAGCGCGGCCAGGGGTGCTCTTCATCCTGCGCTCCTCGATACGATAGCCCTGACCACGTCCCCGCGTCGAGATGACGGAGGAGGCCGAGGAGGCCGAGGAGGACGAGGAGGATGCGGGCGGGAAGGGGCGGAGAGTGCGAAGGGGGAGGGTGCAGAGGGAGAGGGCGGGACAGGCGGAGTGGGGGGACGTCGGTCGCGAGGCGTGGTCCTGACCCATCTTCGCGCCACGTCGGAAATACATCCCTGGTGCCTCTTGGGCCCCCCCGGGCAAAGCAGGGGGCGACCTTCAGAGAAACAACGAGCTACATGAGTACAACATTTCTCGAACGCCGCGCGGACTTCTGGGGTCAGTGCCGCGTGAGGAGGGTGGGTTCCCGGCGACGACCCAAGAGATTCGCGGCCAGTTCCGGAAGGCTACATGATCATGCAGCCTTTTACCAGCCTCGAACTTATCCCTATCCCTATTATTGACACGCCAAAACGCGATGACAATCTTAGGGATGCGCCCTCAAAAAATAAGGGAATCCCTAAGATTGGCATTGTGATGAGGCGATGCCCAGCTTAGGGATAGGGATATGTTCCAGGCTGGTAAGCCTTGAATTTCTCGAGCCATGGGCCGAGCCCTGGAGAGATGAAGGGTCTGCCGATTGAGACAAAGTCAGCCCTCCCACCGGGCACAAATCCGAGCGAAATCTGTTCCTGGAACCCTCCCCGCCCAAGGTGCATCGGCGGCGCGCACACTTGGGGTGTAGGGGGAGGGGGGAAGGCTTTTCTTAGAAGGAGGCTGCTCCTTAGAAGGCGCCTCGCCTCACATCTGTAGAGGAGGCCCGCGCCTTCCAAGAAGCAAGGGTGCTTCTAAGAAGCCATCCGTCCTCCCCCTACCCCCCTCTTGAGCAGGGACCGACCGTCCCGGCATTCCTAGAGTCCTAACACGAAATGCTCTCAGAAACCCAAAATGTTCTAAGAGCAAAAACAATGCTCTTAGAACATACACCCGATGCGATAAAACAAGACAGCCCCAGCCAGAAATGTTCTGAGAACACTTCGGGGGAGCCACAAGAGGCTCTCAGAACATTGCTTGGTAGGACTATAGGCACGCCAGGACGGGAGCCGGCGGTAAACCGCCAACAAAATTACTCCCGGGACCCTCGTAGAGCTCTCAACAGGCGACTTTCTTGAATATCAGCTTGAAAACGCGCAGATTAAATTTTTGGAGTTTTATGCGAAGTTGGTTCCCCTAGTCTTTTGATAATAATACCTCGTAGAGGCTTCGCCACTGCTTGACCCTCTGCGCGTGGCTGCGTGACTCGCCCCGGCCCGCTGCCGAGGGGGACCGGGCCGCGGCTCCGCGGGGAGCCCCCTGGCGGCCAACGGGGCGGCGACGAGCGCCGGGGAGGGCCGCGGTGGCCTCGACTGGGCATCCGCCGACATGGACGTCCGAAGCGGGTACAGTCGGACTTGACTTCTGTCGGGCGTGTCCCCCTACAGGGGGATTTTCGACGAAAAATAAAAAATACCCCAAAACATACCCCAAAAAGGTCAAACATATGCAAAACATAGTGCCCAAACTATTTTTGGACTATTGCTAGGGTATGTTTTATCTTTCGTCGAAAATCCCCCTGTAGGGGGACAGGCCCGACTTAAGATTTGACTGGAGAGGACGCGCGAGAGGACACAAGACCCTTGCGAAGGCCACATCGCCACTGGAGTGTAAGGAGGCACGCATCGCGAGATGCAGGGCACAGGGATAGCCTTGAGCCGGCATGGCCGACATACTGATCTGGGCCGGCTGCACGGAAAAATGGGTAGAATGCTCAACAACAACGGTGGCCCAAACGCAACGGCGGCCGCTGTTGTCTCAAGTGGACAGCGTCCGCGTCGACGCCGACAGCGAGCCCTGCTCAGGGTGAGCAAGAACTGCTGCTGGACTCCGTGCTCACGGTCTCCGTACCTGCTTCGAGCGGCGCCCGAGCCGGGAAGTCGGGGAGGAGGGCGCAGTTTGCTCCCAGCCCCGTCCTCCGCGTCGATGTCTGCGGAGTTCCCCCGCTCCCACGCGCACTCCTGGGCGGCCCGACGCCCCCCCCCCCCCCTCCACGGGGTGGGCCCGAGGCCGAGCGGGGCGCTCGGGGAGGGAGGGGCCGCCGAGTCTGGCACAGCGGGGGGGGCCGCCGGATGTGACACTGAACGGCGCACTGCTCGGACGAGTCCTCCTCCTCCTCCTCCTCCTCCTCCTCCTCCTCCTCTTCTCCTCCCCCGCCTCCTCCTCCTCGTCCTCCTCCTCCTCCTCCTCCTCCTCTTCCTCCTCCTTCACTTTACGATATCCAGCTCCTCCCCGTTATCCTCCTTCTCTAATCCTTATCCCCCTTCGCCTTTTTTCCGACCATTAACACGTAGATAGTCGCTGGAGCTCCCTGCACCTCCTCCTTCTCCGCCAACATTTATTTCACGTGACATAGCATGACTTCCAGCACCCCGAACGGCATCTGCAGAAGGACGTGGGCGAGGTGAATCGTAGTCTGGGTTTGCCCTGCGCTGAGCGCCCGCCGCTTGGTCGTGGCATATCTGGATGTACTTCAGGTGTTGCTGGTGGGGTTGCTGGCGTTTCCGCTGGTAGTTGAGAAACGTCAGCTGGAGGTTGATACGAGTTGGCAGGCAATTCGTATGGCTTTGCGAATCTGCATGTGCCAAGTGTTTTCGTATGTCCCGCTTTGTTTGAAACGTGATTATTACAGCTCTCGCACTCCCAGTATATAGGGCCAATCTCACACCGACGGCATACGTGGGTCCCTTGCGTGGTCAGGCGCGTCCTTGCGGATGCTTTCTACGCGCGCAGGGCACCCTAGACCGCCCGGGCGATTGCGGCAGACGGGCCAGGAGGTATGTCTCCGGCGTCGAGGTCGAAACCAACGCTATTGACCACAAAATCTGGGGTGCGCTTCCGCTTGCTAAATGGGTCCGCAGTTGACTCCATAAGTTTCTTCGCGGCATGGACTGTGTCTACGAGGGGCGATTGAAGCGCGTGCGTGTATTGCTGTGCTGCAGCGACCTCCCTGGGACGCACCTGTGCGCGTTCGTGGCGACTGTTGTACCTGATGCCTTGAAAAGGTGCCAGGAGATCATGGGTGATTGCACATGATCTGCGCGGGCTTACGGGTGCAAGTGCCGCGTGAATATCTTAGCCCTGTGGCGCACGATATGTTGTAATCTTGTGTATGTACTTTCGTTCTTGCAGTGTACGCCAGGTAGGTACTTCGTCAATCCAGGTGCCAGTTGGTTCTTCGCGGATCCAAGATCTACATAGGTCATCCAGGGTTTTGGTAACGGTGCCGCAAAAAAGTAATGTGCGGCAATTATTCCTGATGGTGGTTCCACCATGTGTTGTGGTTGATCACGGCGTTGAAATATAATGGTAATCCCGTGGTGCGACGCGCTGGTTGTAGGATCGCCAAACCGACTCTACACGTGCGCAGGGAATGTAACATAGCTCGTTTCACCTTTTCGGCTTCCCAGATCAACGCCAATTTACTCATCGAGGTTACCATCAGACGAAAGCCGGCATTTAGAGCAAGTTGTGACGTGCATCCTACCCCGCCGCAGAGCCCCAACATATCAACGCACTTATACTGTCCGTAGCATAGTGTCGGAAACACGTTGCAGATGTCGGCGCGCGCGTCCGCAAATATTGTCAGGAAAGTTCGTTCTGAATCTGAATCGGAATCCATGTCCGAATCGCGCGGTGCATCAATGCTGGCATGCTTTGCAATCGGGGCCCTTTAGATTCTCGCCGCAGTCGTCGTCTCCTTCCTCAACGTTCGTGGTTATCTTTTCGTTGTTTGATACCTGTCGCTTTGCCTGCTCCCTACTTTTCCTGCTGTTTGATGCGCGCTTCACTTGCATGCGCCAGTTCAGAAGTCGAAAATTCAAGCGGCGGCAGCCTGAAGAGCGGGGAAGGGAGGAACAATCATCTTGGATGATGAATAAGTACCCGTGCTTTGGGCGTGTCCGCACCCTTCCTACAAGTAGCACTGGCCCTGGGTCCCCCCGAAAAATATCGGCGCGTATATGATCCACCCCCTCTCGGGAATTGTGAGCACCAGTCGTAGCCAGTAGGCTGATCCTCGGCTGTGACATCGCGCATCGTACGATTCGCACCGAGGTCGCGCGGGGCTCCTCTCGCAGCGAGGTCCCAAACTTTGGGGCCTTTGCCATCATGCTACACAATTATGCACGTTGTACAGAGCGTCCGCTGTTCTCTCTCGGGGTTGTTTGCCTACCGCTTCCAGCGGGCGTTCGGTAGGTGCCACTTGGACATGGCGACGCCATTCGGCGCGTTGTCGGCCAGGGCCGCGACAGTCGAGTGCGCGCTGAGTAAGGCCCACACACGTGCATCTCCACATTGTCGTGGGAATGCGGCTGTGCGCAGTCACGATTTGCAAGTGAGAACCGCTGGGTTCCACATCCCTGCGGTTGTTTCATGTCCGAAGTGACGTAGACGCATCCGTATTGCAGTCAGGTGTAGGTCCTCGATCGTGACCCTTAATAGGCTGTAGTCTCCACGTGTAGCATGGAAGATCAATCGTTACGATGCGCATATCGAGCCCCGTTGCCTGAATTATGACATTGCGCATCCGCCCCCAAAGTGCGCGCATCCGCTTCCCCGGCGGACGCGCGCGCCACCCCGCTGGCGCGAGGATCCGCAGCATTGCGTAGACTCCGACCAGCATCGCTCCCGAGTGCGTCGAGCCATTGGCTGACATAACTTCTGCGTGTGCTATCCTATCACATGCGTATCCACGTTGGCGGAGTTGAGCGGAAGCAACGCGAATACCTCCAGTGACAAGAAGCGGGCGAGATTATGCAAGCTTGTTTCCAAGCACGATGTGAGCAGCGGCTCGCTGGGCCGGCGAGCTGAGGGCCGGTTCTCCTCAGCCTGCCCCCTTCGCGCGCTTCCACGTTGATCGTGGTTGTCCGCGTCCGTCATCAGGCAGATGCTGTAGGTGCTATTCGGATCCCTCGCATCGCTGCCTGTTGCTAGGCTAGCGTCTCCGCCGGGTGCACCGGCCGCGTCAATCGCGCACCGCCGGACAGGGGCACGCTGCGCCACAGCCCGGCCGACTTGCTCCAGGAGAGTCTGATGTTCGCCACCTCCACGCGGCCCCGATACACCGCGGGATTGGCGGGGTCGACCTGGCGTGAATGATAGCAGCCGAGGTGGCGATTAACGAAGTCAACCACAGACTCAGCCACAGTGCCGCGGGCGTTGGGCCTCTGCGCAAGATCGCGCAACAAGAATCCGGTAGCCGCATCTGGATCACTGGGTCTCGTGCATCGGTTGATGCGCGTCTGCGTCTCCGCCCGCCCCGCGGGGCGGCCCCTTCCTCGGCCCCGAAAAGCCGCGGCGATTCCGCGAGCCTCCCAGTGCCCCCTCTTGGGCCACGGCAGTTCTGCGGACTGCGTTTCCGCGCGCCTCGCCAGATCACCGTCGCGATCCCGCGTGCGCGCGCCGACTCCGCGCGATTGGGGCCGCCCCCGTCGGCGGCGTCGGCGCGAAATCGGACTGCGCCTCCACGTCGGCGTGGTTACAGGCCACAACGGTCGAGTTGCATTGACCGGCCCCCATGCTATCTGCCTGGCTCGCGATGTTTAAACAAGTGTAATCAGGCAGGTGGGGCCCGCGATAACTGGTCCGTTCCGCGCCCTGAAACTCAAGGCACGGGGTGACGATGCGGTCGCTGCGCTTCTCCAGCCGAAAGATCCTGGCGCCCTTGCCCAACTGAGCTCTGCATTGGACCTCATTCGGGAGAATGGTCTTCTCTCTCCCACTTTCGAGCGCCAGAATCACGCGTTTCCGCTGGAGGCTGCTCAGGCCGAGGAGAGCTGGCACATCGGCGCCAATGCCTTCGGCGATGTCGGCGGCGAAGGTGTCCAGTTCGCGCTTCTCGAGGCGGTCGCAGGCAATGGGAAATTTGCCCACGACCCTGCACGTGGCCGACCCCTCTCCCACGCCTTTGACATGCAGCGTTTCTGCCAAGTCACGTCGCGCGGTACGACAGCCATTATGTCTGGCTAGCTCCTCGAAGTGCCTGGCCGCGTCCTGCCCGACGATAGTAATGTTTGAACCGATGTCTACCAAGCTAGACAGTCGGCCGTCGGACAACATGGTTTTGAGCTGGCACTTGATGTAGACTTCTTGTCCACTGGGCGAGCTCGCGCGGATGTCTGCAAATCCTGCACAACGTCTCCGCCGTTGTGCCCACCCGCCCTCCCGTGGAAACGCGCCCTGAGGTAGCTTCCCAGCCGGAAAGCCACCTGTAATACTCGTCGGCGGTCGCAAGTTCGATCGCCGAGATCACTCGGACGTTGGCGCGCACCTGGCGGGCGTGGCGGTCCACGCCCGTTGCGGGCAGTGGCCCGCAAGCAGCGCCTCCGCCCTGCATCGTCAAGACCGTCTCGCGATGGGAGCTGGCCTGGCTGCGGGCACTCTGCGGTGACTCTACTCGGCGAGGCTGTAACAGTCGCGGTGGGGGTGGCCTGCGCCGGCCTGCACCCGCGTCGGTGTCATGTGGCTGCTGCTGCTGCTCGAGCCTACCCAAACAATGGGTTCTTGGCTGGGTCGCGCAGCAGAGGCGCATGCGTCGCTCTCTGAGTGTCGTCGTGTATGGTTGTCGCGGTCCGCTCATGTGGCGCGCTATCAGGCGAGCTTCCTCGCTGCGGTCCGTTTTTCGGGGTGTCCGCCGGCAGCGTGTCCGCCTGTATCTGGGCAGCATGCTGCTGTGCCGCGTGCAACTGGCGCTGCTGCTCTGACGCCTGAAACTGCTTCGAGATGAGCTCGACCGCCGCAGTCGGCTGCGACTCATCACCACGATGCCCAGCGCACGGACACGACGCAACAGTACTGCCAGGGCCGCGGCACACTGCACACGGGGTCTCCATGGGAGCGCCCCGCCATTGGTTGCCCACGCGAGCCCTGTTAACACCACCCCAGCATGCGCCGTGGCACTGATGCCCGCACTGAAGACGCCATAGGGCGTCTCGCGGCTGGAAGGGCTGCAGGCATACCGCGCATTGAGTGAGTGAGCTCGATGTCAAATATCGTCGGGGTCTGCGCGTTCGGCATGAGCCCCCCCTGCCTCTCCAGCGCGGACTCGGTGGCGTGGTATGCTGGGCGCCGCGGTTGACGCTGGCGCGTCTGTGCCTGTCGGCGCGCTTCCGCGTTCGAGCCTTTCGACCGCTGTGGGTGTTAGCGCGTCTGGCGCCCCCGCGTGGCAACGGTCAGACTCTATGGGGGTGCCATGTGTGCCTGCGCAGCGTGGCAGACGCCCCTGGCGCCTTCCGCAACGGGGCCCGCGGGCGAAACTATCGCGGCGCCCGCCCCGTGCACCTGCGCCCGCGCGCCCGGCGGCGCAGGTTGGCACGCCGTGTGCGGCCGCAGAGCGGGGTCCGCCACATGGCAGACATCCCGTGGAACTCCTCCGCGGTCTCCCTGGCGCACCGGCTGGGCGGGGCGGCCCTTCCCGCGCGCCCCCGCCCATCCACCTCGTGGAAGTGCTCGGGGCACATCGGCGCGGCCATGGGAGGCGGCACAGGCGCATCCAGAGGAGATCCAGCAAGACGTGGGTGCATACCAAAGACTGGATGCATTGGGATATGCCAGCTGACGTCGGGTCGGGTCGGGGTTTCACGAGCATGGCGGGGCCCGTTCTCCTAGCCACCGCTCGAGGCGACCCGTGACATCCCCCCTGGCCCGCATCTGCTCGACCCCTTGCTGCTGCTATTGCTGAATAAAGCGCTACCGCTCGCAATGGGGATCGCAGTGGGCGGATGCTTCAGGCCCGTCTCCAGGCTGCGTTGCCGCGGGCGCAGCGATAGGCGTTGCCGCTGGCGGAATCAGCGGCGCCATCTTATGGGGCGCTGCACGCGGCCCAGGGCGGCGACGCAGTGGCTGCAACCTCTGCTGCAGGTCGCGCGCGGGAACCCGCTGTTCAGGTGGCGCAGCGAATGGCAAGCCAAGGGCGCGCTGGCCTGCCAGCGGGCCCGGGCCCATGGGATCCAACTGGACTGGTCCAGCAGCGCTGGCCGGCATCCTCGGCGCAGTCGCGCCCCCCGCAACGCGGGCGGTTCGTCTGGGGTCTGCCGCAGCGGCCCGCGTGTCGAAGTGGGCCGACTGGGCCACGGCGGCGCCGATCGCCGCTGGAGTCACGGCCCCCGCTGGCGGCGCTGGCGCTGGGAGATTGCGCCATGACATGGCCGGCGCATCTGACCGCGTTTCTGCGTCGACGCCCGAACCAAAAGGTCTCTCCAGCCAGTGCGGCCCTGGCCCAGCTCCCCCTCGCCCGCGGATCCCTCGCTGCCGCGCAGGCGGCGCCAAAATACAATGGGTCGCGCCACCACTTGCCGGACAGGGCAACCAACTGCATGATGCACGGGGGAGATATGTGACCGTTCGCATCTCCGCTAGCCAGCAATGTCATTAGCTGGCCGCCACACCTTGATGCGATCGCGAAGAAAGAATGGCAGAATAACGGAGATCGCGATTTCCGCATCAATGCGAAATCCGCTTTGGGCGCGGCGGTCTCCTGGCAGATGCGGGCGCCCATGAGCGAACTGGCGACCCTGCGACCCTGCTGAATCTTCGCCATGGGTTGTCTTCCGGCACTTGCTTGCTTGCTCTCGCGCGATTGCTCTCGCTTGTTTGCTCTTGCTTGTCCTTGCTTGCTTGCGCTTGATCGTTGGCTCTTGCTTGCTATTGCTCGCTCGCGATTGCTTGCTTCCGCTTGCTTGCGCTTGCTTGATGTTGCTCCCCCCGCCCTCCCCCCCGCCCTGCCCCCGTCCTCCTTTCGCCCTCCCCCGCCCTCCTCTCGTCCCCCTCCTGTCCTCCTATCTATTTGGGGCCAACGCCTGTTGATGTTCCACCATCGACGGGGCGCGAATGAATTGCGCGCCGTGAAAAAAAAAGACATCGCATCCGTCAGAGTGGTGACCCGTCGGAAGAGGACCCCCAGGCCTTGGGGACCTGGTCTGCCGCGACCATTGGTGGCCCTGAAATACAGCCCCTCGTCTTCTGGGAAAATCGCAATGCCATCGCCATCTGCGTTTCGGCACCAGAGCCCCTTGAGTTCGAAGAAATTTTTCTGCTCGCCCGAACGGCCCACCACCTCCGCCACCGTCGCCATGACAAGCGCGATGTAATCATGTCCGGTTCGCCTGGCCCCCTCCAGTTCACGACTGCGGAGAAGCCCTTGCCTCCACGTTGACGCGCGAAGATGTCAGCGACGACGGCCCAACCATCCACGACATCGAAGGTCGGGACACCACGGGAGAACCTGTCGCCATAACGACCCTCGCCGCCCACGCGGCGACATGGGCGACGGCGAAAGACCTTGGAGAACTACTGGCCCATTGGGGTGGGCTCGTCGCGGCTGGGAAAGGCCCGCCGAGTCGTTTTCCATCATTTTCCATGCGCGGCCGCCCCCTCCCTGATGAGCCTCGCACGGAGCCTCTCGTAGAAAATGTTACGGATCCGCTGCCGGCTGCTCCCGCCTTCGTCGCTGCGGGGCCTCGCGCGCGCAATGCTGCGCGCGAAGACGAGATCGCCTTCTGCGTCGACGACGGCCCCCTCGTCGCCCATATTGCGTGCGACGCGCTTCCGCGATGCAGCGGGCGCATCCTCCGTGGCGTTTCTGCCCTTGCCTCCCTTCGCGGCGCGCCCGCCCTCGCCTTTTTCTGCGCTTCAGGGTCGGCGCTGCGATGGAAGTCCCCGCCGTCAGATCCAGGGCGAGGGGCCGGCGGGAACTCGCGGAAGGCGGGGCCTTTGAGAGAGGCGGCTTCTTTGGAGGATCGCCCCCTGCGGCCGCGGAAAAAGCTTCAGCGAGGGCTGCGGCCTGCGCGCTGGGCCCCTTGCTGCGAGCGCCTCTCAGCGACGGCCTCGACCCCCGCGACGAGCCGCTTGCGCCGGGGAACGCGGGGTCGGAGGGCGACCGCCAGCGTCGGCGACGGGGCCGATGAGCCTCCAAACTTGGCGGCGGCGGCGGCCGCCGCGAGCGTGGCCGCGGATCAGACGGAGGGGCCTTTGGTGTAGACTCCAACTCAGGCCCCTCCTTCTTCGCGTCCGGCCCGGCCGACCGAGCTCGCTCGGCGCGCTGCGGCGGGCATGGGGATCTCTGCCGGCGTTGGAGAGGTCGGCCCATGCCTGGGCGATGGCGGCGCGCTCCGCGTCATCGTAGGGGGCGCGGTCAGCCTCTGGCGCCACTGGTCCGCCAGCGTCAACGCCGTCTGCGCGACGCGGCCCGCGCGGCGTGACTCCACGATTGGGGGGGCGGCTGCCTCTGTCCATCGCGCAGTTGGGTAAATGCAGATGCGCAAGTTGCTCCGCAGGTCGATGCGCCCCCGCCTGGTGTTCCGCTGCTGGCGGGCGCGTTGTCCTGCCGAGAACCGAATGAACTCTCCCTCTGCGTTGCGCGCGTGCCTCCGCTAAGAATCCAATTGCGCACTTTTCTGATGGTGTCCACCCTCGGCGGCCCCATTTATCCATTTCTTCGAAGGGCATGGGCGGCCCGCGCGAGCCGCCCCAATTCGGCGGCGCTCCTCCCGGGCCTCGAGAGCGAGCCCGTGGAACGCGACGTGCCATGTAGGTGTTGGCATTGGCCAAGCCCCAGCTAACAGCAATGACATCGTCTGATTTGATTTCGTTGGAAAATCCCGGTCGCTGCCGCCGGTCGAAGTCATGAGCGCATCGACTGGGTCGGCTGCGAGCGATTCCGCTGGGTCTGACATGCCTGCGCCGTGGAGCACTGCCTGCGTGGCCAGGATCGTCTCGGCTTCGGAGACGCCCCCATCGAAGCCCGATGCGCCCCCGCCGTCGCCGCTCGGCACGTCGGGGGCCAGTTCGGCCGGCGCCCGGGCCATCAGTTTACGACGGAAGCGAATGTGGGCAAGGGGGGCCCCTGCTGATGGGGAGGTCGAGATCGGGCCAGTCGGCGCACTCAAACGTCCTCAATCGCCCCTGGAGCCGTTAAAAGGTCAGCGCCATCTCTTCCCCCCCACCCCCTTTTCCATCACTCTGACTCGCAGGGCGTTTGTCACTGCCGCGCTGATTACGCAACATGCCCTTCCCGTTGCGGTCCACGGGGTTTAGTCTTCGGCCTTTTCCCTTGCCGGCGGCACGGCGCCTGCCCCGACCTTTCCCCTGGAAAATGCCCTCGCATTCGGCTTCAATAAATTCCGATCGGAACCCGGCGGGACCTTCGCCGTGTAACCGTCGGTTGCGACGCCCGCCCTGACCTCGGCCATTCGCCCGTCGATGGAACGCCCGTCGCATCGCTCTGCGCGCGCGCTGCGCAAGCTTCTTGATGCGCCGTCTCCAACGGCGTTTCGCGCGCTGACATTTTTGGAGAGGTATTCTGCGGTTTCCGCGCCACCGAGGCCGGGGGGCAAATCCGACATAGCTGAAGGTTCGCTCCCGTCCGAGAACAGCGCGTCGGCATCTGTTCCGGAGTCGACGGGCGAGCCCCCATTGGCGGCTGAGCCCCATAGGGCGGTCTGGCTCTCAGGAGCAGCGCATGATTGGGGATTGGATGGCTGGCCCCTTCTTTGTTGCGTCAATCACATTGGGCGGATTCTGCCAGCCCCTTGGCCTGAGGAAAAGTGGGAAGTAACGCTGCGGACTCTGGGTTGCGAAGTTCGTCGCCCCACGCGTTAGCGGGCGCAGCCGCGTCTCCGCCGGCATTTCTCATACACGCACTCGCGTTTCTGCGCCCTGGACTTCTCGGCGACGCATTTCCGACGTTGCCAGCGGCGCCTTCAGCCAAATTGCCGCAGCTACGCATGCGATCCAGCAGTTAATCGCACTGCTGCTGGGCCTGTGGCATGTGACCATTGAGGGGCTGAAGAATTTGGGCTGCCCTGCCAGGACCGAAACTTACGGCTGTAAAGAG